TTGAATTCCTACAATGCCAGGCTCGTGTGAGGATCCTGGATGCTTCCCAACCTTTCATTCCTTTCCCATTTTCAAGGCATAAACACAACTTGATGATTTAGGCTGATGTGATACATAAATAGCTGTCATTTTCATCTATAGCTAACCTACCTGTAATTGGCAATTAAACATTGCCAGCATCTCAGACTAGCTCTTAATTACCGTTAATAAGTGCTGAGGGGCTCTGAGGTGTCCTCGCAGGCTGAGGATGGGGGATGTGAGTCTCCTGCAGCACCACATCACGCCATGAATATGCATGGCGGAAAGGTATTCTTCCGCTCTCTCTCCCTCTGCTTTTCAGGCACACGGAGGTGGAAATGGACCACCTCTTGAACTTCTTCATTACACCTCCACAGCAACCTCAGCATCGCCGCCGTCGTTGCCATGCTGCATCCTCGCAATGGCATTTCCGTGCACTGTGGCTTGTTTTGTGTTTGCCAGGAGCTGTCACATTCAGCCTGTTAGTGCTGGCCCATGGGAAATTTGCACAGTGTGACTGGTATGAGGTGAGGCCATCAAATGAGCCTGTGACATGCTGCTATATGCCCCACATATTTGCTATGATCTGTGTTTGTGTCTGTTTGGATAATGCTAATCACGACCCTTAGCCCCTTTCACATTTACCCTTTTTTTTGAAACAGGAGATACATTTTCACAGTATAGAGGCTCATGCTCAAATATCATTTATAGTATTTCTACTTTAAAGCAAAGTTTGATTTCACTGATTATTACAGCTTCCTTTTCTCCGCTGTGAGCTGACATTTAGCTCCCATGACTGCTGATTGTCTTGCCGAGTTCCACTAAAGACCCGAATCCTTGTATTTAAGGGCCGACGAGTGTAGAGCTCTCTGATCATAATGGCACTTTTAATTAGCACTTAATTAAAGGCAGGTGGACTGGAAAGGTCAAGCAGTTAGGCCTCTGAGTTAAAAACACAGTCAACGTGAGCATCGGCTCTTTGACAGATTTGTCTGCTAATTACAGTGACCAGAGTCTGGACAAACTCCGTTCACATCTGCCTGAGGTTAAGCCATTTTTCATATTTACCATCTTTGCTTCTAAAGTTTCGCCTGTATTAATGTTTGCTTTGATTTCTTTAAATCTAAGAGTCAATTCCTCGGACAGACAGCAAGAAAATCCAGAGCAGTTTCTTTTGTAAGAAAGTGAAACAGCCCACACTGCCAAATTGGATCATCATTGTGCTCATTACACAAACACAAAAATGAATGCAGCGTGATCTAAACTCGCAGTGCCTCGGCTGTGAAAAACAGAGCTGAGCCAAGAGTATTGATCTCAGTCTGAATTTATGGATTGCCGTGTCTAAGTGAGTGATGGAGCTGTCGGACCGTCGGTCTCACCTGACAAGCACCCACATTAAAAATCCTGATCCCTGAATTCCACCGGCGTCATGTTTAACTATCGCCATCTATCACGGTAAACATATACAAAAAAAGGTGTTTTAAATCTATTGTCGTGAACTCAATACACTATTGTTATCCTTAGTGTGTCTGTGAGTTAGGTTTAGTAAAAAATGTGTGAAAAAATGGAACGATCCAGTCAGAAAGCAGCTGAATTTTTTCTTCATCGTCAAGTGTTTCACCTCAGAAAATGACTCGGAATCAGATTTTTGCTTCTGCCATCTGAGGTTAAATTCTCCATCTCGGGAAGAAGCAGAACTAAGCACAGCGTGACAAACGCATCAAAAGGTACTATTGTAAGGCCCTGAAATGGCCTGTCATGCAGCAGCCTGTTTGCTCATCTACTCTATCACATCCCCAGCCGTTTATACACTGAGCCTCGGCTAATGCTGATGCTCTCCATGTGACGCTGATGAAGAATAAGGCACTGGCGAATGTGCTTCCCTGAAAGCACTGCATCTTCTCAGGCGCTGCGAGAGACCACTGAGGGGCAGCAGAATTACACGTCAGTCTTTGTTTGCTCACCATTTTCCCCAAATGCATCTTAGGCTATTAATCCTGCTGACTTATGAGAGACCTCGAAGGATCCCAGGAGCTAACATGCTCAGTGTGTGTGGTCCGGTCAAAATGCGATATGATATTATCCCTTTTTCAAAAAAATAAAATAAACAGAAAATAAACATAATTCTGTGATATAATAGTGATAGTTTCCCACAAATCTGCACTGTGATATTCGGGTTCAGAAAAACACAAATACTACGCAACAGTGGAAAGAAGTCATATAACAATTCAGTTTATTTTATTTATTTTCCAGACAGACACATCGATTTCTGGACCACAGTAGAGGATGGAAACCTTTCACAGACATTTTTTTGTCAATATTATTATTTGAAAATACAAATATAAAATTAGACTTTCCACATTTGATATGTGAGAGACCCCCATCCATTATTATTATCATTATTATTTTAGTATATTTTACAACAGGGCTTGAGCAAGCCATATGATAACCTGAAAGATGCTTTCAGATGTCAGTCAAGTCTGTCTGTCTCTCGCCATAAAAAGTCGGTTAACATAAAAAAAAGGGGCAAGTGTTAGGAATGGGCAGACAGCGGTGGAGAGAGCTCTGCGCTCAGCCTGCGGAGACACGGCAGAGCCTCACATTGCAGGCCGTGCAGTCTGAAGAGCCTCTGGACACCCCTCGTGGCCGTGCGGTCCACTCCAACCTCGACAACACGCCGGGGGAGAACTCGCATGATGGCGAACCAATAATGATGAGTGGACTAAATGAACCTGGGCGTGGCTGTGTGACGAGGATTATTCTGTATACAGCTGAGGTCTCCAGTCTAATATTATTCAGTTCAAATGAGCGTGAATTGCAAGTATATATATTCATCTATATACATATATATTGCAATTATATGTATATATTTGGCGATGAGCATGGCGTGAGATGGCAATGGTTTGGACTGGAGGGGAAGTTCACCCCAAAAACACAGTAGTACAGGCGAACTTGTGCCATTTCCGTCACCTTGAAGAGTTCAGTCCAGATTTGTGAACATGAACTGATCTTTGATATATCGAGCCATAAAAACTTTAAATAGCGTTGTTAGCGAGAGTCACTTTGTGAACTGGCCGGAGACCTAACTTTGTGTTCACTGTGACGGTATCCAGTATCTCTCAGAGATAAGGGCACACTGTCTGGTTTTTTGCTTTTTCAAAAAACCCATTAGCACCACTATGAGTAAGCCTCTTTTTGGATAAAAATGCTCAAGAACATTCAATGAGCCTTCAAAGTCTGTCTGATTCATTGGAAATGGAGCAGAGCCTGTAAAGCCTGGTGTTCCAGCTTTTAGGAACCGTTTGTTCATATTCAGAAAACGCTTGTGAACCCAGGATGACAGAAATCCCATAAGTGTGTACGGTTTCAGGGTGGGATTCCCCCCCCACCCCCACCTCGAACTGATGGGGTTGTTTGGCCATTGCCTAGCACTTGCCTCGAGATTCAAGTTTAAATGGATACGGTAGTACACTACAAATGTCAACACCTTCCAGGTTGACTTTTTTTCTTTTTTGATTATTTTTTTTTCTTAAACCAAGTCCCCTCCCCTCTCCCCAAATGGATAAGCTAGTCTACTAAGATGTGTAACATTCATCAGCTGTAAACTGCTGTCAGTTTGAGATAAAATGAAATTACAGCAACAGAGCCATGCTACCTTAAAGTCCAAGCTACAGGATCACAAAACAATAGAAGAGTCAATTTTGATATTGTGTGAGGGAAAACAAGCCATTTCAAGCCTTCTTTCCAGTGAAAAAGGGTTAATTATAGACTAAGAGACAACAGGCACCGCGACAGCACAGTGTAGTGTGTGCTTGCTGCTCTGGTATATGCTGTTTGGAAAAAAACGCCAAGAAAACTGGAACGCGACTGGGTTGCGTTTGAGTTAATTATACAATTAAAATATTTAAATGAACAGGAGGAATTTCTTTTATTACTTTGAGAATTAAATTATAACCAAAATGTGTTCAGTTATTGTTCTTCTGCTATTAATACATTTCTTTTTATATTTCAAACAATAAAACTTTTTCCACAAATACTGCATTTTTCTAAAGTGAGTGATCACTCTACATCGCTAAGATACTGACATATGTGATAGTTGGCCGCTGCCTAATTTTAATTTTTAAAAAAAGAACAATTTTACCTTCAGAAAGTAAAGTAAAGATCATTTACTTTCATCATTTACTTTAAAAACAAAACAAAACAAAAAAACAAGATAACTTATTAGCATCACTGACAAAGCTGCTGTGTACTCTATGTGCTGTGTGCAGACTGGTTAGGAAGAAAGAGCGCACTAATGTTAACTTATTAACAACAGAGTAATATTAATCGTTAATTTAAAGAGCCAGTAAATTAGCAAACAGAGATTATGCTCAAAAAGGCTCAACTGCACTGGCTGTATTGGGGTCCAAGCAGCGGCTCCAGCAGCAATCCCATTGTTTTAATAAGTTTGTTTTTGCTTGTGTAAATCTAAACATGTTAAGTCCAGGCATCCTTTGACAAGGTTGTTAATAATAATCTATTCTAGCTTGGCAATGCATCACAGCTTCAGGTTGCAGGTCCAACTCTGGACAGGAATTTAACTGTCTATTAATCAGACGTGACAAACTCGACACCCCTCAGCACCTGCTGATATTCCTCTAATGGTTCTCTGTTCAGTATTTGCAGTGTTTCTCTGTGTGTGTCAGTAATGCCTCTGTAGTGTCAGAAACACTGTTAACAGATTCAAATAAGATTTTAAAAAAAGTCATTAACAGTTCCCAAATAAATAAGAGCTCAAAAACTGTATCATCTAAAAAAAATGACACCAGAGGAGCCTGGGATATCTGCAAAGTGTACAAACATTAAAAGATAGAAGAGGCTCTTTAAACAGCTCTGTGACTGATGACGTATGTGGTAATAACTCGCATGTCTCTTAAAAAAATATGAAATATCTTAAGTAAAAATTGTTTTTTTTCCCGTGATTTCAGCTTGTGTCCCTCTTGAAAAAAAAAAAAGGAAAGCAACAATCAAACACAAAAGTTTTGCATATCTAGCATTAGCATTTAAGGTAGTATGGCACACCCCTTTAAAAACATTCAAGGGTGGGGATCCAAATAATGCCTTGTGTACAATTCCATCTTACAGCAACTATTTCTCTATTGTTCATCCATGAGAGCTTTGGTTAGCTGAAACCATGTGAGAGTGGCAAAACCAAACCAAAAAAAAAAGAAAAGAAAAAAAACATACAGGGAAAAATTACAATGAACCTCTAACAAAATAACTGTCTGCAAATACCAGAATAACATGATCGTTGAGAGAAAGGTATATCTCGACTGGTCCTAAATCCACTATTCACTACAAGTATTATATTAATGAGTCCTCTATAACATCTACTTTGTAATTACAGGAGATAGAAAAAGAGCGCAAGAGGGAGAGGGATAAATATGAGAGAAAGGAGAGGTAGAGCAAGGGAGAACAACAAAGAGCACTACACTGGTATCAAAGACAGCACTCTGTTTACAAGTTAACTGTGATTTCTTTACACACTAATGAAGTACATGAATGAGCAACAAAATATCGTAGGATCTCTGAGGATGGGGAATGGAAAGAGAGAAAGTAATGGATGCACAGTACATTTTAATAGTATATTACAATTATTAATATATAAACCACAAAGTATCAATAAAACTCTGATTAAACTTGAAATCAGCAAAGAAGCATCTTTTTTTATAGTTTTGTGTTTCTTATTTTCTTTTACATTTGAACATTACAAGTTGTTTTTTTTTTTCTTCTTCTTCTCTTGACTGTTTAAATTATTACTCGATCACACCTCCATATCGTTTACTTTAAAAGTAATCCAGCATAGTTCTTTACCTGGTTGTTTTAAAAGGAAAAGAAATGAGACGAGACGCGGGTAAAAGGAAAACAGCAAACGCATCTGCGGCGGCATCGAATTTCAAAACTTGAACGCATACTGGAGCCTATTATTATTATGATTATTATTAATAAATCATCATCACGAGTAAAACCATCGACCACACGTACTGTGGAAAACCCGGTGCAGTGGTAGATAGTGAATTATTCAGTGTCATCTTTTGACCCCGTATTAAATATCGTCAGATGAGACATGGGTCTACTCTATAAAGAAATCCATGTGTACACAGCAACATAACCAGTTACTTCTTCCCACGCTGTGAACTCGCCTCAAAACGCTCAAGTGTTTTGTCTAGTCGAGAACACGCCAGCTCCGAAATCCTTCATGCTATCCCAAAGCACAGGGCAGTTTCCTTTTTCTTTTTTTTTAAAAAAAGCCAACATATACATGTGCAAATAGAAAAAAAATGGCCTGTACTTTACAACTCACAGTGCAATGATTACTTGCTTAATTACCTTTCAGTGTTTTCATTTGTTTTGCCACTAGAATAAATTAAAAAACCTGCCAATGATTCCATAAGAGAACTCAGGAAGGCTGAGGTATGGTATCAAAACGTTTACTTTCCTAATTCACTCAAAAAAAAAAGAAAGAAAGAAAAAGATCTGAGTCGGACAACGAGCGTTACATAAAGACTCGGGCACAGAGCCCAGATGTTGTGTTCCAAAGGAAAGAAAAAGAACTAATCGGGAACGTGCAGGATGAAACAAACATCAACATTGCAGCTAACAAGTTCCTCTCAAGAGTAGAAAAGTGTCAGGATGCGCAGAGCCTGCTTCAAGTTCTAATCTTCAGATCTAAGTACAGTGTGCTTTGGATTTAATCATCTTTTTTTTTCTTTTAAACTTTCTCTTTGAAATGATACTGATACTGTAACAGTTAGACAAAAAGATACCAATCAGGCTCTTTATTTTTTAAAATGATTATTATTATTATTTCTCCAAAACTGTGTTGACTCACCGCTTGTAAATTTTGCTGGTATGACACTTGTAAAATTATTCAGCTTCAGTATTTACAGAGCAAGTGTGTGTGCGCTAGGCGTGTGTGTGTTCGTGTGTTTGTTTCCGTGTGGGGTTGTTATACCGTCTTCCAGCAGAAAAAAAAAAAGTAGAATAATAACTGTTTACAGCTTTGTCTTCTATTCACACGCTATAACATGTTCTTTTGACACACCATCACAAAAATATGCTATTCTCTCACTGAGTTGGTTATATGCAGTGACTGGAATAATATGTACAGCTACATTTCTTTTTCTCAAGTTTGAATTCACAATGTAGTTATATGAAATTTGTTATAGCATATATATATATTTCTAAACAACAAAAACAACACTTATAAAAAAGGACCATAAAAATATTGGAGTCCTCTTTGTATTGCCCAAAAATAGGTAATTATGGTTAACAATGAGACATCACAAGAAATAAAACAGCTACTAAGATTTATTACTTAGATACCTTCTTTAAAATTTCCTTAAAATGTTTTTTTTTTCTTCTCCGAGTCTTTCCGCACTGAGCTTTTTTTTCTTGTGTTTTCTTTCTTTTCTTTTTTTTTTGCAGAAAGACTGAATGAAACATCCCGAGCTTTTTTCCTTTTAGACTCACCGGTACAAAGATGAAGACGTGACTTTGAAGATATTCTTGGCTATGACCGCCGTACTTCAAACGAAAAAAAGCAAAAAAAAAAAAGCAAAAAAAAAAAAAGATTTACACAACAATACCAGAAAATAAAATAAAAACGACACAAAATTAAAGGTTCAACTAAAACGACTCTCTCAAGGCTAATCAAAAGAAAAGCTAACAGAGGAAGAAAGTAGGTGAATGAACTCGACATGAAACATCATACCAAACCAGGTTGTAAAGTTATAGGAGGTTTGGATTATAGTACAGCAGTTGTTATTTTTCTGAGATGATAAACATTTTCTTTTCTTCTTCATATGGTTCCGACTTTCGTTCGTTTTGCCGGGGTGACACTGTAGTGCTTGAAGTTGGATTAGCATCACCTGCACACAAAGCCAATTAGAAACTTCGTCCTGTCTTTCCTGGGCCACCAGATATACTCTGCTGGGTGATAAAGGAAAAAACACAACAACAAAAAAAAGAGGAAAAAAAAAAAGGAACAACAGCATTAGAAAGCATACATTTAATTAGAGTAAGTCTCGAACATAAATAATACTCGCTGTGACGTATTTTGCAGGCTTGCTGAAGCATGAATAACTGGGATATGATTCTAAGAATCTGCTACAGGTCAAAATTTCCTGCAAGCATAACAGAAGCACCAATTACTGTAAAAACAGCCTGTCCAATAACAAAAAGTCTAGGCTGTCACAAATACCACACTATATACTTAAACGGCTTATTAATTTAGCATTTGTGCATATATACTGACCTGCCACTTTATTAGATATATCTGCTCATACCAGTATCTAATCAGCCAATCACATGCCAGTAGCTGATTGGTTAGATGGAATTAAACCGACAGCAGCAGAAGACCACATTGCCTGCCACTCCGGTCAGATAAGAACAGGAAACTGAGGCTACAGTTTGCACGGGGTCACCAACCTCAAAAGTGGGAAAAAACTGGGAAAAAACAATTTCATTCTGATGGTAGAGCCAGAATGTGGTGGAAACTACATGAAAGCATTGCTCTATTCTGCCTTGTATCAACATTTCAGGCTACTGGTTGTGGTGTGACGGTGATATTTTTTGCCAACTTTGGGCCTATTGGTACCGGCTGAGCACTGTTTAAATGCTACAGCCTAGCCTACTGTTACTGATCTGACCTATCCTCTTTGACCACAACATACCCATGCTCGTTATCCTCGTTGACGTACCTAATAAAGTGGCAGGTGTGGTATATCGTGCTGTGGACTCTTGTAATAAGTTTAAAAACGTATACAAAAATACATTTTATGCACATCAAACATCTACAAGTATCTGTAGGGCAGACAAGGTTTTATATATGACATTGTGGATGTACATATGAGGGACAGTGTTAGCAAAAAGAAGGTCATGTAGTAATAAGCAATTCCCTTCCTCAAAGATTCTTCCTACACCTCGGCTGCTTGTTAGTGAAAGATTTTGCAGTTTCGATTTAAAATGTTGTGAAAGAATTGTAATGAGAGTCCTGTCCTTGGACAGCCAGAGCTTAGGTCAAAAACACTTTAAACTGTGACATCCCCTCTGGTTGAATAGCAAGACATATGATTTTTCTGCACAGACATGTGACTATTTTAGGATGGAAACATTTCAAAATGTCGAAAAGAAGGAGGAAAGAAAAACTGAAGAACCGGTAGTATGTGTGCGGGTAACCGATACATGAAGCTTTCCTTCATAAACAATCACAAAATGATTAAAATTCTCGTAATGTCTGCTAATCTTCTGTCCTTTTTATCAGTTGTATTTATTAGTTTTTGGAGAAAGACCTCAAACAAACCACCTCGCCACACTCACACGTTACTACCAGCTCTGTGTTTCCCCAAAGAGAGGTGAAGGAACAACGATTAATGCGATGAACACATAGTACAGATAGATACTGATAGAAATGCACAGTAAATAAAATGCAATACCTCTGATGAGATGGCAACCGGCCACCTGTTCAATGGTATCCATTTGTAAAAGCTGTCGCAATCAACGGGCCCTAAAAGTGTACAGTTAGTGCTTTTGTCAGTATGCATTTCAAAGAGAGAAAAGTGAGTATCATATCAACTTCTTTTTTTTTTCACAGCTAGCATGAATGTGAATGTTGTGATCATGTTGAGTAGCAGAGCAGGAGAATACTGAAATATCAAACCAAATCTTTTAACACTCTTGCAAAAAGAATAATTGCAACATTACAACAGGAAGAAAAAGCCACGTAATGCTAAAAGATATTAAAAACAGTTAGATATGCTCTGTACAGTAAATGATTCATACTGCATTTAATAATGCAAGCTCTTATAACAATGCAGCACTCAGATTACAGGATCTAAATACAAAATATGTAATAATACACACAATCCCCATTCATGCTAACATACACAAGTGATTTCATCTGAAAGAATGCCGAGAATAGGATCATAAACAGCCTTCAGTAAGATCAGTGTGCTTCTGACTATTGAATGGCTTTTATTACTGAGGCTCACTTATCAGGACACTGTGAGCTTTCCTACTGACAGGTCTGTAAAAAATGATTGGATTCAAACACAACAGTGAAAAGGAGAGAAGCACTTTCAGCAGCGCTTGCTTGTCTTTATCACCTCAATCAGCTAATTGCGCTCTAATTGTCTTGCATAAAAAAACAGTTAAGTTCATTAAAGCTTCTTCGCAGTAGCTGTTTTCGTACTGGCTAAAGGGATTAATAAAATCAGTGGAGCGTGAGACAGAAGGACAAATCGGTGAATCTGAAGTCATCCGTGAGCTCCTGAGATATGACGATCTTATATGCGCTTGGTTCAACACCGTCCTCGGTAAAGAAGTGAATTATGAAGCGAATTTTAGTTCTGAATCATTTCCTATTTTAATGTTCTGAATAGAGAGATCATCTCGGCTGGAGCAGGAAGTCAGAGGCCTGCTGCATCACCTCTCCTTTATTGATTCGCTGTGATTCTGAAGTGGTGATTTAGTCTAGTAGTATTATGGGAAAAAACTGACTCTCTGTAAGGGAATCAGAAGGCCCGGCTTGAATAATGTTGGTAAAATACACCACATATTCTTCACCCACCTCTTTCATAAATCAGCTGCACTCTGCTGCTTCAATATTAATCTCATCTCTTCTGAATTTTTTGTATTTTTGTGGTGGGGGGGTTAAAAGACTTGTTCTATTCTCTAACTCAGTAATAAACTATGGCTACAAACTGTTGCAACAAATGGAAAATAATTGTAACAAATGGCCACATTTCCATCTGTGAACTATCTGCTGGTAAATCTGCCTTGAAAATGAGCCAGCGTGGTGTTTCATAGCAAATATTTTGCTTCCTACACTGAGACCAGCAGATTAAAGCAGATAGCCAGTGGACCTAAAACAATTAATAATAGGGGCTTTGCTCAGGGAGGAAAAAGGCTTTAAAATGTTGGGGGTTTTTTTTCTCTTAAGCTCTGCTTTGCGTGGATATCATAAATCAATTACGCACGGCTGCAAACATCTAAACGAGCTCTTTTACCTGTTTTGTACATTTGTGACACTATCCAATAGCAACAAGGCATTACAGCCGTATAGTGCAAGCGTCACATTCACGACATCTTCGCTAAACCGCCGCACTTAGTTCAACTGATTCAAGCGCACAACGTGATAAATCTCCTGTGGTACTTCTCAGAACATGTGTGATTTCAGAATGCAGCATAAGCCACAGTTTGCCACAAAGGCTTAGATTTTAAAAAAAAGAAAAAAGCACCACAAAATACCACAACCAGAGGATCACCTAAATAAATAAATAGATAAATATCTGTTTACTGTAGCATGAAATTCAAGTTAATGATGTGGACTATAAAGTTTGGAACGAGCGTCTTCACCCTGTAGTCTTTTCGGCGCTCGCTCGCTGTACTAATGGGCTTGTCGTTATTCCATCTCAGTTAAGCCATGCATTAATGAGCTTGTTGCAGAAAGCAGGTGTTATTTTTATAGTTTACACTGTGTCACTCAGTTCAGTCATGTAAAGCAGCACAAACATGCTCCGATGTGAACTGAAATCCTGCTGCACTTTGCTAGGGCCAGAAAATTCACACGGTAAAAAAATTTAATTACTCGGCGAGGTCGAAGGTAGACTAACGTACGAGTAAACAAAGTGCTGATTGGGTCTTCTTTCGTGGCGTTTGAGCCTTTTCCTTTATTGACAGTAAATAAGCTAAGTACATCAGATTTAACTTTGGCTCATTCAGTCTTTGGCTGCTCTCAGAAAACTGTCTTAGGAATGCTAAAAAACAGAGAGGGAGTAGTTTATGATGGGAACTGACTGCTAAGTCTCATTTATTTTGAATGTAGAAAGAATCCTTGTTAAGCCATTACATATGTCTTTAGTAAACTAGCTCTTGCTAGGTTTCCACCCTGCATAGACTCAAACTGCTGCAATGTTGAGAAAACACGGGAAATAAGAGGAATGAACCTGAATGGCTAAACTTTCTTCTTAGAGTTCCTTTTAGAAGTAAAGATGTTCCTACTGGCTTTAAGATGATCTCTCCAACACTTATGATAATAGATCGGTTCACAGAGAACACGGAGTTTGAGAGCACAATTTTAACGTCTTTTTCTTCACCTTCAAAGGAAGGTGGGATTATTAGCACTCTGATGGGGAAATCCCTCACAATATTCTCTTTATTACCGTCACCTCGTCTTCCTTTGTAGTCCTAACACTTACGCACTGACTTGGCGACCAGCTGCTAACCGATCAGAGAGAAAAGTGCAACAGCATGTGGCTGAGCAAGCCTAACTGGACAAGGGCACTGGGAGACACAAAAACCTGTGTGGGAGCATCGTCCTAGCAATGGAGTGAACTCCAGCTCTGGGACAGATGGGGTTCTAAAAATAAAAGAAATTTGTTCTGGGCAGGTGATGCAGGATCTGAAGTGAGGTGATTTGTGCAACAGCTAGAGGGGAAAAACATTTGCTTTTGACACAGATAACTTACAGAGCTGCGATGGGGTTTAACACTGATGTACTACATTATTATGGGAGCCCTGAACCTGACAGCAGCAAAAATGCTTCCCTGGATATTTTCTAAGACGACAGCAGTGATTATTTTTAGTCAATTCAGTAAAAGAATAAATGCTACTTTTTATGCAAACACTGAGCTGCTTTACAGAATGTTGCAATTGAAGCCCATTTGCATTTTTTTTAACGTCTAATTTTAGTGCAGAAGAAGAAGAAGCAGGAGGTGCAGTCGGAATTTTAGTACTTACTGTGATGCTGGGGCCAAAGCCAGAGCCAGGCTGAGGGCTAGCAGCACTGATGTAGTTGCCCACAGCTGAATCCTGGCTGCTAGGTCCATATAGGTCAGCCACAGGCCCTGGACTATTAGCGCCGGGGAAACCTCCGGGCCTTGACGGGTTGGCACCTGCATACAAACACAGCGAGGAGCGGAGCAGCTCAGAAACCCCCAACAAAGATCAGTATATCCTTACTCTTGTGACTCAATGGGCAAATTGAAATCAAAAGAACGCATTACTGGATTCATACATTTGTCTTGAAGGGCTTGCTCATATTACAGGTTACTGTATTTGATGCTGTGCGTTCAATTTAATTTGTAATCGACTGAAAAATGGTGCAGGATTTTGGCTTAATTTCATACCAAACAAGCAAAATTAGGGGTGAATCCAGTATGAGATTCTAAATATAATCTACATGCTGCGTGTATTATGCACGGGAATAACATTCACTTTGTATAGTCATGCACAACACAAAACAGGCACGTTGCTAAAAATACTTCCATCATGCTAATAAACTAGTAAGGTTGCAGTGTAAATGTTGACATGCATAATGTGAAGGAGTACTTGTACAGCGACATTGGCTGTAGCATAAGTAGAGGAACAAAGGATTATGAGGATCTGAAATTTTTGGTGAGCATTCTGAGCCCCAGAATTTGAAATACTACCTTCTATTTTCTTATATGATCTACTAGGTATACCCCCCCCCCCAAAAAAACCCCCAAAACAAAACAAAATCATATAATATTTAGCACTTTTCAGCTTTTTAGTCTGCAAGAGTAACTTCCAGCATAAAATAAAATGGGTATGTCAGGCAAGAGAAGGAGGGAAACTGAGGAAATATAAAAGCCTGACCCGAGTTCGTCGGCAGGTCCAAACTTGTAGGGTGGGGGATAAAAAAGAAATACTGTACATGACTTACCACCTTTTGCCCTGTGAGTAAGAGCAACTCAGTATAATAAAATGCCTTTTGAAAATCCATATGCCTGCTAAAGGCCAATAACACTAGCAATACAAGGAAAAACAGCCGGGGAGAAAGAAAAATGCAGTGATCTCTTAACAGCAATCTCCTTTGCTGTCAGCTTCGCATAACCCTCCATCTCACCCTTATTCACAGACAAACTGTGAAAAAAATCTGTGCAACTGCATTAAAAAGAAAAATCCTCCGACCACAGAAAATGCTCCATCTTGTGTATATATATTAGCTCATGAACCCTGTGATGCCTGAGAGGAGGTCTTTGTAGAGCATGGAAAAAGACACAGTGTGACTGCTGTGGCTCCAACGCGCTGATGGAGACACGCACACACACACACACGGTAAACTAACTATCATTGTCACCTTGTTTAACGTATCACCGCTCCATCTATCAAAGCCGCAACAGACAGGTTAGGTTCACTGGAAGCACCTCAAAGCATGCTTCAGATATTTATGTGTGGCACTCTAGGAAAATGAAGCCATCTCACTAAACATATATCTAGTGGAGTTGACACTGCTGTAACTGTAAGGACTTTAAACGGAGAGTTGCTAGTGCGCTTATCTTGCCCACACAGCCCCCAGTAGGCTGGCTTATTATATAATTAAGGATTTTTTTTTCCAGTTGAAATGGCAATCCTCATTTCCTATAACTGGTGATTTTTATTGGAGTGCAGCTCACCCCTCTCTCAGTGAAAGTAATTTTTTGACGTAGAGGCTGCAGTGGTTTGTGCATTTAGCCAAAAGAAAGCCAGACTCCACTGTAACGCATTTTTCTGTTATTATCTGGAATATACATCCTTTTTTCATAAAGACAAAAAAAAAAAGATTGGAGAGAAAATGATCAATCTTGTGTTTGTAACAGATACGATCAGTTATTTAAAGAATTCATATCTTTAAATCTAATTTTCTGCCCTTTGAAGGGAGGAAGCTTTTAATCGGTTCTGTTCGTTTGTCTGTCTGCTCGTTAGCAATCTAGCGTCCAAAGTTTCCAAGATATCATTTTCAAATGTTGTGGGACGGTAGATACCAATAACAGCTCAAGCTGGTTCAATTTGAATGAAAATTGGTTTAAGGTTAAGGTCACACTAAATGTAAACTTTTCTTTTTTTTTTTTTTAAACCCTTTATATTACCCACAATTTTTTTATGGATCGTCTTCAAATTTTAGAACAGTATACTAGGCCTCAGAGGGCATGAGTACCTAGGTTGGCTAAGCATTTGACCTTGACCTTCATTGTTAGCACCAAGGTCAAAGTTGACCTTGAAATAAAATTTCAAGAAACCATATTGAATAATATATCTCATGAAAGAGCATGGGGAGAGATTTTTATTATTTTTTTATTATCTTTTTTTTTTTTTTACGTCCTGCAACGATGATAGCCCTTGCACTTGGTGGGAGTTGCCATCTCCGGATGTTTTTGTATACTTGTGTAATTTATAAGTCAATTACATTTTTGTCAAACATTCTGATTTAATTTTATCTCCTTCAAAACACCCACAATTAAATGTCTCTGAATTTCACACAGGCTCAAGGTTGGCTGCAGATTCCAAGTCTATTCCACAAACAACGCCCACGTGCTACGACGCAATTAAGCTACGCTGACTCACTCAGGATTTGAACGTGCCCTCTCAGGTGAGACAAGCTTCAGCTTCAACAACTCAACGAATATTTCAGGGACCATGCGTGCAGCAGAGACATATTCATTAGGTGCTGCTAAAGAGCTGAGGCAACATGACTTTTGACCAAAACACCTCTTTACTCTTTACTTAACTGCTCCAAATCGCCTATCAAATACTATAAATCAGCACGTCACTTAGCCTCACAATCGACAGACAAGGGCGATTGATGTGTACTTGCAGCGATGGGAAGAAATCAGCTCTTTCCCTCTGCTATATAGATGTTTATCCCATCAAACAGTCCACGCTGCTTAGCAAATCTATAAGAAGAAAAGTGTTTTCTCAAACAGTTAGTGCTGATGTTGCTGCCTCATGTGTACAAGTATTATCACAAAAGCCTCCAACAATTCCTTTACAACTCCACAAAGTTACATCTCTGTAATTTGTTGTCTTTAAAAGGCTCGTCTTGTGCATTTTTTTGTCTGCTAGCTGTACTAAAGGTTACACAGACAGCCTGTAGTAAATGCCAACATCTGCCGGGGGCAGCTGGCCAACACTTTAACCATTAGGGGGAAAAATCTTGCCCGCACTCATGCCCTCAGCCCAAAAAGACTGACAGGACAAATCGCTTTGCTTTCTATATGTATATTTGTCTTTTTTTCTTTTTTTTAAAAAAAACAGTTATACTGTTGGGTGGAAAGACAGCCAGAGTGGTGGTTGATTGGATGATTATACACTGGGTTCCCATGATCTCATGACGATATTCCACTAAGCAGGAATTTAATGAAAGAAACACTGTCTGTAAAAACACAGTCAAAAGACCGCCATCACCATGACACGCATTTGACATAAACACTTTTATTTTAAAAGTCAGCATATATTAAAAATTCCTGTCTGCTCTCAAACAAAAAATATCAGGTTGAAATTCTATTTAATTTATCTGCATAAAGCTCGCAGTTTCTGAAATCGCAACATGAACTCCATTTGACTTAGTCTCATCCCTTGCTTTTTAACAGCTATGATTACATAAGAGAGAAAATCAGAAAAAAAGCACAGAAGAAGAAAATGTGCTTGTGTTGCGGAGTAATGGCTGTATTGTGCAAAAAAAAGTTGTCTATTAAGTGTTCAACACTGTACAGCATTTCTAACAATTTCACACACTAATAATACGGCAATCACTCTTACACTAAGAATTCCTAAAGGGCTCGACTGAAAAAAAATGGCACTCACTCCCACACTTGCTCTCTCCTTTGCTGTTCCAAATTAACATAAACCTGAGCTCTGTCAGAGTGGCCAGTGTACTCTCAGACATCATCAGTAGTTATTTGGTTCACATGCAAATGAAGGATTACATTCTGTATATGTCGACCCCCTTATGTGCAAGCAGGGGCTGGAACATAACTTCACAAAGGAACAAAAGATCTACATTAAAAACTGGAGAAAAAAAAAGGAGGAAGAACATGCAATACTACTTTGTCAGCAAGACATTTTTTAATCATCATTTTTCAAAGGGATTTTTTTTCCTCAACAAAAGTAAGAGAAAATATGTATATGTGTATAAAAAAGATTAGATCATCTGCATGGAAAAATGTCATGAATCAAACTGAAAAGTCCAAAATGTGGATGAGATAGATGCTCAGATACAAACCTGGGTTCTTAAATTGATCCGGGCTGTGTAGGTGCTGTAGGGGGGAGTTGCAGGCGGAGGTGGCATGCTCACTGTGCAGCATCTGAGCCGCTTGGGGCCCCAGGGAGCCATAGTCAGCAAAGGAGCAGGGCCCCCCCCTCTGGTCACTGGGCGCAGAGTAAAACCCATAATCGGGGAGGCCTGGGAGATACAGTATAGGGTGGGGAGGGGGAGGGGAGGGGACTCCATCATTGTGGAAATCAACTTGTTCATTGTCATAGTCAAAGTGTCCAGATTGATAAGCATAGCTCGATGGTGCTTTACACCATTTTAAGGTCACATCCTTATATTTTGTCTGCTTTAGTTGGCCCTCCCTGCCCTCCCTCCCCAGCAGCTCCTGCCATGTGGCCAGACCCCCTGGCATATGGTCCGTGTTTGCTATGTTCAGCTATATTGTATATACACTAACTCGAAAATAATGGACGTATAAAATAATTCCATGAAAGGATATAATTAAAAACTGCTCATTAACTTAATTGAAATGGACCAAAAGCAATAAATACAAAATACACAGTAAGGCCACAGCTTTGCATAACTGACCTGTCCCAGTGTTTGTTTGCAAGCATTAATGAGTGAGCTAAAAAAAAAAAAAAAAAAAAATCTAAGAATCAGGTCAAAGCAGGTCAATACATTTCTCATTTCAAACCGACAGTTCTTACTTGACGTACCTGGAGGAAGCTTTTGTCATTTAAATGAAAAGAAACACAGAGCGCACTGATCGATAATTAATTTAAACCCCTCGTTTTTTTTGGACCAATAAAAACTGATAAGCTTTTTATGTGAATGAGATACAGACACGTTCATGTTTATTGATGATAAGAATTCTCAAGTGTACTAAGTACTCTGAGCACGTCTTAGATTGGCCTCTTCGAATTCTTTCTTTGACACAGATGGTGGATTATCAACAGTTTAGAAAATGTCATTCAGCAATAAGTCGTGCTGACATTTATTGCTTGTTCTCTTAATCTGTGGCAAGCTGCTCATATAAAGAGTGCAATTAAAAGAAACTGCTCCTTCTCACACCTCTTTGATAAGAGAGTTAATCTACTCAGGAGGGACTGAGATTGGTGACACCGGCTTTTCCATGCTGGGTTTCCCCTGCTGTGTGTTTGTTTTTTTATTTGGGTCCTGGAGCGAATAGCCATTCAAAACCACTTCACCTCTACCCATTCAGAGTGAGACAGTCCACTTCTGCCAAATGGAAAGTAAGCACCAGCCATGTTTCTCCCCGCCAATGCTTTTTAGCACTCTGATCTCACCACTTGTGGGCTGTCTGCCCACTCATCAAATTATAGGCTCCAAATAGGGCAGGCTTCCCACGTACGTCACATAATGCCTGACACATTGAACAAAGCTCAAGAAGCAATCATTCCATTTACTTCACTTAGAAAAATGTCACTGAAAATTGATTGGCCTTGCTAATGAGGAAAAGCTGGATCAATGGAATAATTATAATGGGGAAAAAACATTGACAATAGCACAAACCACGTTATTAGGGATTCATAAGGAATCCATTCCAAATATATCACCAGTTTAAAACGGTGCAAACTCGCCTTGTGAGTGTACAATAAAAAAAAAAAGTCACTTTCATACGATATAAAACCGACAATAAAGGCAGCTGAAAATGAACCATATTGTAATCAGTGTGATCTTGTGAAGTAGCAGCATTAGGAAGGTGTAGATGACATGCACACTCTCGAGTAGATGTAGGTGATTTGCTGGATTTAGGTTGATAATTACTGTTATTATTGTTTAGACAAAACTGACATTAAACTACGGTATTAGGGCTACTGAAGCAAAAATAGTGTTAAAAGCAATCAGCTGAAGTGGGTGCATCTTTAAACCTGTGGTCAGGGTTGACATGAAAAATAACGAGAAGCCTTTAATTTGAGGTGAGGTTCCAACCCAGTGAGACCCTTTGTGTCTTTCTAAACAACTTTCCTGCTTACCCAGAAAACTAAAGTTTTATGTGAACAGAAGACTTTTTTTGCTCACTGGGAAGAAAATTTGTTCAAACGTGACAACTGCAACCACCAGTTGCAGCCAGAGGTCTTAAAATGATGTTGGATGATACTAAAAGAAGCTCACGACAACAATAAATGGAAAACTGCAACACAACAGGCCAAAAAACATACAACAATCAACTGGGTTGAGGATCAGATGCAGATCCATACAGTTTATCATTCATTAAAAAAAGAAGAAGAAAAAACCCAAACACATGCCAAGGACAATAAACACCAATCTTATGCAATTTAGCCTTTAAAAGTATCAATTACCACAAACTGGGCAGGGCTCGTTAGAGAAAAATAAGGGAATAAGGCGCTGCAAATACTGGCAAATAAAATCTGAAACATTTAGAGCTCGCTGTTGGTGAGGGAGGCTCAGGTAGGAAACTGGCTTTGTTTGGCACAGGGGCACAACAGAGACACAAACATGCAGGCCCACACTCGCAAAGCCATATATTTTCATCAGTGGCTATCTGATCTGTTATGCAGGACGAGAATGGGCAGAGTGTGCCCACAGCTGCATGAGTATCACCGATCATATCGCTGTGCCTCAGACCGTCCCACTATTAATATTCACACAATCTATCCAGAACAATGGGCCTTTCTTGGACTCCTTTTTTCCACTGGCCACTAATTGGATGTAATTACTCATCTACAAAACAAATGAGCGTGTTGAGGTTGCCTTGGAGACTATATCAGGGGACCCAGCAGTGCGAATCGTTCGCAGGGCTTCATTTATACTGATAATTATCTCCCCTGCCCCCACCCTCCTTCCCTTCTGCCCTCAGTGACCAAAACCGGCTGTGAGGCGATAGAGAGGGGAGTGTCTTGCAGTCATCTGTTACTGACATCATTGGGGTGGCTCTCTTTAAGTGGATAAATGCCCTGTTCTCAGTCCCACTTTGCCAGGTGACTGCCTTTAAGGAGGAATCACAAACCTTGAAAGTAGTCTTCTTTTTTCCCCCCACAAGTTGGAAAATAAAAGAACCCCATAATCAGACTGATGATAAAATATGGCCTCGTGGGTCTTCAGGATGTGAAAAGGTTTACCAGGAGTCTTTGTCGAGTTTGGGATCATTCTCATTTTAAAACCAGAGGAAAACACTTTGTCCACATCTTCTAATGTGCAAGGGTTCGCTAAAAGGCCTCTGTTTGGAATTCTGATCGTCACCAAAATATTGACTTTTCATGTGCAAGAAGCTTTGAATATACATGAACATATCTGTTATTTACGCAGTCAACAAATACCAGGCATCGGGGAATATAAAAATCTATCACCAAGTTCTGCAAATAGAAATTTTCATGCAGCCACTCCTCCCTTTCCCTTGCGGCACCAGCAAGATTCCTCGGTGGCCATCAAACCACATCACTCTGCAGAAGATGTCAATAAACCTGACATGCTGCTTCTCAAATTAGCTTTGAATTTTAGAGCTACCATAATTAGCTTTTCCATTTTCACCAATGTCATTTAAAAATAGCGTGAAAGAAACTAACAGCTCTTTTGCTGTCTAGCCTTGCTTTCACTTTCCATTTGAAATAATCTTTTCTGAATGAATGGCTGAGTAATTAACAGCACTAGACACCCTTTTCAGAGAGCACAGACATTTCATAAATAATACATATTTAATGTCTTGTCATTTTGTGTTCAGAGAAGCTTGGCTAATGAATTTTAACAGATGATTTCTTCTTGCATTTACTCACCCATACTGAGGCCTCTGTTTTCTTTACTTTTCATTTTATGCCTGCTCTTGCCTTTTCTTGCCACTCGTTCCCGTAACGGGCAAACTCAACAGAGATATGGATTTACCTTGGGGAACGACTTGTGGAAAGTGCCAAGCGCCAAGAGAAAGTGTGAGCGCAGAATCACGGGCAAAACAATGTGCAACAGAGAAAGAAATCCGCTTGCAATAATTTGCAGCAGCAAAGCCCAGACAGGCCATGCTAAATGATTTTAATGCAGATTTTAACCTGTGAGGGATCGGGTCTGGTTGGGACTGAGAAAGGGCGCTCGGTTATCGACAGTCGGCGCAGATTATCCCATCGTGAGCAGCCCCAGAGCTGACAGCGCTGGCCTTTTGGCTAAACACATTTTTTTCAAACATGTCTGGTCAGGCTTAAGTGGTCTGAAGAAATCTAAGACTCTCTGTGAGTGAAATCTGAGCGCGATGCTGGCTACGTCTAATGGTCATTTAGACACAGAGGGAAGAATATATGAATAAATCAAAGAGGAACCGACTCTTAGAGCAATGCTTACTCAGAGATTGTACGTTAATGGGTTGCTAAATCTCACATCCATTTATTTCACGTGTTATTGTTAGGGTGGAAAAGACTGCAGATGCTACTTTTGTCTGCTCCCTCGTTCACAAAGGACCATCACAGCAGGGTCGCATGTCTGAGTTTGCAGTTTTACTCCGGATGCCCTTACCAACACAACTCTAAGGGGATTTTTGTCTCTGACTGGAAGTAAACCAGCAACCTTTCATTTGCACATGAACATGTAAACCACTACAGTATGTAGCCACACAGTGTGGAGAAAACTATGCGCTTCTTTTTGCAAAGTAAGCATTCTGCAGTGTTCTGCAATAACCACATAATGCACTATCGTATCGAACACATACTATATTTCTAAGCTGAAGTCACAGAACTGACAGAAAAATACCTTCCTAACATTAAGTTTTCTTTGAAGAGTGTGTTATGTATGCAGCCCCTGGAGGGCAGAGCGGTGATGTCCCCGAAGGCCTGTGCCTGTAACCTCAGAGCATCTGCTCCCCACAGCTGTGAACCACCGCTTTGTGGTGGAGGTGCAAAGGGACGCTTTGCCCTCCCTGATGTGTCAAATCTTTCCCTGGGCCTTAGACAAAAACCCGAGCAGGATGGGCTTGGCATGCCTGCTCATGTTATTTTGCAGCAAATACATGTAAAGTGCTTCTGGCCTCAGAGCTGAGCTCTGCAGATTAGCATCTGGGACAAATGGACCCATGCTCACTAAGAGCCAGACTGATTAAGCCTCGTGCACATAGCCAGTCCTACTCTCCTCTCAGGCACTGCAGAAGATCACAGAGCTTGTTGGGAGGAAATTGATAATAATCTTAACTTGGAAATGACTGTCACTTTTCCTTTCTTTTAATCGCTGGGAAATAAAAGAGGTGGAAGGAGAAGTGAGATGAGAAAACGTGAGATCAGAACAAAGAAGAGGAGCAGCTAACTGAGGGGAGGAATGGGTTTTAAATGATGTGACGACTATCCTAAATCCCAATAAAACTGGCAGGGCCACCTCTGCAATTTATACTGCAGCACAATTTATTCATAGGGCTGGCCACAGCCACTCTATTTCAGTTTCGAGCACCTGAGTCAAGTCAGACATACTGTACATAGCAAGTACCCAGACCTGTAAATGCAGTTAGATGTGCTTTGTGTACACTGCAGGTAGAGCCGAGATCTGAGACTGACATTTGAGCTTCTCAGAAAGCTCAGAGGGACTCAGGAAAACACTCAACCAGAGTACACTGGGACCTTTGAAGTTCCCTGGACTGTCAGAACCATCTGCATCAGTTGCATTTTCTCAGTTTTCATCTGACAGCGCACAGGAGATTTCACATAAGTCTACTTTAAAATGGAGAAAGAGTACCACAATGAGGAGGAAAGAAGACCTTAAAAAGAATGGCTAAATTACTAACTTTCTCCACGTGTTTTATTTGTTAGATATCCATTTATAATATTCAGAGTGATGTTCTCAGCGTGCATTTCAATGGTCAGGTTGTTGTTGACATGTATGTCTAATTTTTACCATTCAGTTCCCCAATAAACCACCTGTCGGTCTCAATAACTGTGGCAACAATGGCTCTTTTTCTCTATTTACTGGTTTGTTCTTCACATACACAGCAGAGGTTAAAGTGTACGTGTTTAAAATACAGGCAAATAAGTAATTTCCTCAATGTTAGCTTTAATATACAGATGCTCAGCCTTTCCAACTGCTACAATACGACTGCCTTTTAAAACCTCCACTGGCACCCAGTCATAGCTTGATACCAGCCTAAAAATCCAAGTATGGACTGGCACCTTTCCACCTCCAGGCAATGGTAAACTCTGTCAAGTAGCCACATCTCTCTGATCTACCTCTCGCCTGAAGCTAGTTTCTCAAACGTCCCCAAAAACACACATCAAGACTACCCCTCAAGCGTTGTTGCACTTGAGAGGTGCAAGATACTACCTGATGGGGATCAGAGTAGCAAAAAAAACCACCTCTTCAAATGCACACCAAACACCAACCTTTTGCAAAAAAACCCATTTGGAATTACACCAATCACTGCTTTTGCTTTTTATTAGCCTGTCTGAGTAGTAACCGTTAACTCTGTGTTTTATTTCCCCCCCCTGCTGACTGGCAGTTTTTATTGCCTGGAAACAGGCAAAAAAGGTAGTGCAGTAGTGTTAAAATATATAGTGCAAAAAAAATAAGATTAAGCAATAAAACACATGGTAATAGATCAAAGAAAAAGTGGCACAGGCCCACTTAGCTGTGTCTATGGTTTCCTACAGGAAGTAGGCCACTGCCATCCAAAATACACCTTGTCATCAGCAGTGGTCTGTCGCACAGAGAGAGGTCAGCATGCTGTCATTCTGTCTGCTGAGCACTGGGAGTCGGGCGAAAGTGCCCTCTGTCACTGATGGAAAATGTCTTCCTCATTTTCACAACACTCTCTTTGTGTATCGCTGCCAATCTCCAAACAAGCCTCGACCTACACAAAAAGCTTTCCTGTAGCATTCTACTTATATCTCGTGATTATCAAGTGTGCATTTTTACTTTTATTTAAAGCCTGTGGCATCCGGTTCAGGTGAAATATCATCGCCAATTCTTCTCTCCTCCTGGGTCAAAGTCCACAAGCACATATATAATATGTGGTGCTCTATGGAAACTGTAGGTGGAGTCAAAGCACATGGAATCCACATGTACGTCTGCACTAAACGTGGAGAATTTAGCAAAAATGAAAGCAAGAGCATTGCTATTCCTGGACTGACACCCCGGGCCGAGCGTGCTGCAAATTAAATGTTACGACGGGATGGAGATGCAGCAACGTTCCCAGATGACACAAACAGAGAGGAAGGTCAAGTCTAAACAACCTGTGTCCTCTGTTTGGTTTGTGTCTGCGCAGAGAGGAGAGCACTCCATGTATTATTCCACGCTGCGTGTTAATGGCGTCATCTTGAGGACTTCTAATAAATCATTTGCGACTCAGAGCCACGAGATGGAGAGCTGCTCTCGTTGGATCGTCAAGAGGCATTTGTTAAGTTTTTCTCCCGAGAACAGAGCGGATACTAAATGGCAACAATAAAACAGAATACAGCTGTTTTAGATCTGCTGACATTTTATGAGCTCAGTCAAATTATGCTCATATTCCACATTTTGCTGCTGTTATTATTGTTGTTCCATTTTCTGCTTTTCAGACACATTCTGCCATTTTTCTAAAGAGTTCTCCTTAAACTGTCTCGTGGCTGTTTAAGTACTCTAAAACAGGCCCATGATGTCACTGTTTTTCACTCTGACACCCCTCCCCCTTCGCCCCTGTTCATAATCATTTACTTGTCTCCCTTCCATTTGCAGCTGTCAGAATTAAACTGTACATAATAGCTGCCATCACGTCTCTTGCTTCCTGGCTGCTGCTAACCCCAAATCAACATTCCTGCTTCTTAGTGATGTTCATTGCAATTGTTGGTTAAGTTCTTTGTTTTCAAAATACAAAATCAAATAGCTTGATGTGAGAGAAAGAGCATCTGATTGGCTTCCAGTGTTCCCTCTGTTGATTTGAATTAAGTTCAAATGAGAAGAAGAGCGTGAGCTTGCTTGTCTGCATTCGTGTGTGCGTGCGTGCAGGTAGTGTGCGCCCGTACTGTAGCTGTCAGTGTGCTCATGTGCAATAGTGTGCATTTCACATCACAGCACATGTCATTAAACACCAATTGTCTCCTGACTTTATATCTGTAAGCCACTGCACAAACCAGGCAACATCTGAGTTACAATTAAAACACATTTGCTCCAACAAGCTTCAAATAGTATGTCTGATTAGGAAAGACAGTTTTTCCTCACTGCCTGGAGGCTGTGTGTTCAGTCAGGGGAGCTATTATTGACAGCTATTGAATGATCTACAGTTGTAAGGGTGGGGGAAAAAACAGGATGTCTAAATGAAGCCGACAAGTTGATCAATGCTGTTTAAGACAGAAAGAAACTTGCATCCTGTTTTTTTGGTACAAATCTCTTGGCAGATATTCATCTGCTTGCGAATGGGGTGTGTGCTGTCAGAACGCTTTCCTCGAGTGCGTGTGTACTTAAAGTTGATCTCTACAAGCAGGCAGCTAAAGCACCGACTAATCTTTCCAATTTCCCTATTAAACGTCTGTATTTACAGATATAGAGCAACACAGGATAAGCTGACGTTCGTAAAGAACCGACACAACGGTGATCACAAAGGCACCCGAGGTTCACGGTGCTTTGATGATCAGGTTGTAAGAAAAGTGTCTGGGAAAAAAAATGACTGCCATTACTGTACTCCACTGCTTTCTCCTCATTTATTTCTTTTAAGAGACAATCCACCATTAGACCAAACATTACGCAACTTAGTTTAACCTAAATGAAAAATATCTGGACGAGGCAAAGGAAAATGTCCATTCGGGTAGTTTAATACTGAGACAAACTGGAAATTCATTACCTAGCTTCATGGGTTACAATATTCTCAATTTTTGAATCTGAAAATATTTATAGACATACTCTGAGAAGAAGATATTAAGGAAAGACTTTTTTATTTGCCCTAAGCTGCTTTAAGATCAGATTTTCTTGCATGTGTAACCATTTCTTATTAATGCTAAAACCCTGAGAGCTTCGAGTACAGATGTTTTAGACCGCGGATCGCCTCTTCATTAAGGTTTTGCTTCAGAAATTTCCTCCTGGGAAGACTTTTACTGTCTCAAAAGTAAACAGAGCTATGTTATCATACATGAGCAGAATTCATATTAAAATTTGTCGTGCTTTGTCATCAGCCCTTAAAAATCTTCCAGATGAGAGAATTGGAATTAAAGCTGCCGGTTCATGTTTTAGAGGGATCTGGAGCGGCTAGGGCTATGTCTGAAAGGATGTGTATGTAGATATTTTGGATTAAATATGTATGTGAGCCTAAATTCAAAATGTTGCCAAGTGTGTTGGGGGCTGAGGGAACTATGTCTATGGGGAGAAGCAGAGCAGGAGAAGTTGAAGAGAGCAGCAGCCACACAGAACATGGACAGAGCGTTTACCTGGCCCTGTGCTCTGTGGGTACGCCAAGTAGCCGCCTCTTCCACGGGCCCCCCTACCTGAGCCACGCGCTGCCGCTACTGCCGCCGCCGCCACCGGTCCATATGCTGTCGCTGGGAAGCCTGCAGGCACATATACACACACATATACACACGCACATCACTTCGTGCACAGAGATGAGTACCTCCCAAAGCTACAGGAGAATGTTGATACCAGTGCTGAGCTACAGGATAAAACTATAGCTTTCACAGACAGGGGCTCGTGTTAGGTCGACATCTGTCAGCAGTCTCCTACAGAACACAGAGTGAGATTCAAAACCCCGCAGACCTGCTCGATCCACACACACAGAAACAAAACGATAGCCACGAGCAACTCACGGAATAAAACGAGCTGGGAAAAAATAGAGACACATAGGTCAGCTCTGTCAAATCCAACCTGGCACGTGAGAAGGTTGAGATTTTAAACAAATCACCTAATAACTCAAATAAACAATCTCCAAATTGTTTCATATACACAACATTTGATTTTTATGTATTCGAAATGTCATGTTTAGCAATATAATCCACATGCTCTTACTGTAAAGACTATATCTTTGGACTCATACAGAAAAATATGCTGATGACGATACATGTAAGAATGAATATATGAAAAATGTATGACTTCAAACTATATAAAGGTACATTTCTGCAAATGTGTAGGACTGTATTCAGCTACAGCACAAACCCGTGTAAGATCTCTGATTACATTAGTGGAGGAATTTGGCTCTGGGGGTGTTTATGTCACATGCTTTGGATGAAAGATTATAGCCACTTCTGAGCTGCATAGACATGGGCATAATGGCCCTACCTCTGGGGACCATCCCTGCATTTTGTTCGGGAGTGCTCCCAATTACAGTGAGTGTCTATGGAATCAGAATAATCCACTGTAATGCAGTCCACATTTTGATTTTTGATTTTTTTTGTCTGGCTATTCAGGTGGAACATATGTAGCAGAGAAAAACATTTCCCACAATCAGACGAAGGCATCTCTTGGATGATTTGTCACTCAGAGATTTCCATCTGTGAGCTTATGTGAAGACTGAAGAAGTCTTTTGTGTTTGTTTATTCTCATGTAAATACTTTACTGATGTAAACATTTATACCCCGACGCTGAGATTCTTTAAGCTCGCCACTTTAAAGCACATCTACAGCATACACTCACTCAGAAATCAGGCAGTTTGTGATACACTAATAAAATCAAGGCTTTAATTCCATGCAAATATAAATCCACTTTTAAAGGGTCTGATTATTCCAACAAATATCAGCCTAATAATCAGACTGTAATTAAGCCAACACAGTATCTGTGAATTGTAATTACATTGTTGGCCTTAATGAACACAGTAGCTAGAGGTGGCTGACAGAGACTAGTCCATGCCCAGGGCTTGGGCTCTCAGCACAGGAATGGCATGTCATTAGTATGGGTGATGAGATTCCTCACTCTGGGCTCAACACCTTCTATGCCTAATCAGCCTCCTAAAATTATCTCCACAGGAAATGCTTTCCTCACTAGCAAAGAAATGATCTCCAAATTCCCTCAATTGGATTTTTTCTTGATTTTTCCCCTCCTCCTTTAGTTGATATGTGTGCATGTGTGTTTTTTGTGTGTTCTGGCTATATTCTGGAGACTGTGGTTTAGACATTACAAAATGGCACAAGATACCTCAGAGGATTATTTTTTTTGAATGCTGTAGAGGTGAGAGGAGCACCAGCGGGTGACCTATTTTCCGAGCCAGCCTTGTACTGCTATTCCACGAAGAGGGACTCACACAAAAGACTGATGAGACAGAGGGAGGGATGGGGGGAGGTGAGAGGGCAGGGTCAGATGAGCTGCAGCCAAAGAGAAAAACACATAGCTTTTCATCAGCCGCCCGAGAAGGAGGTAATTCACAACTCTGTCGACACAATATGACCATGAATGTGCGAGTTGGGTGTGAGGTGCCATCATGCTGCGACTGGTAGGCAGGTGAAGAAGAAAAAGAAATGCCACTTTTCCCCCGACTATCTAACAGCTCAGGAGAGAATAACAGACTGAGGTAGCATGGTGAAAGGAGAAAAAGGACACACAAAAGACAACAAAAAAGGCAACTTAAATCCACCCCGCCTACGCTACTGCAGCCGCAGCACACCTGAAAACGACTCCAAGAGCTAATCTCCGCCTCTTTTCACTAAAACACAAATCGACTCTGAAGCTATGCTAATGACGGCCATGCACCCCTGAATTTCCACTTACAATGTCCCTCATGGTTGATGTGCACAACAGTGCACTCTCCACCTCTTTCTCTCTCGCTCCCTTTTTCCTAAGTGCTGAATCTATCTTCCCCTCACTGCCATTGTCATGACACCCCCAATAGACCCACTGGCTTGGAAGTTAGTTGCGGGCAAAGTTGTGGTGAGAGATTAACTTTGCAGGATTAGGTGGGTTAATTAATAGATGGCTGCTGCTCATTGTTTTGTGCTCACGCTGTAAGAAGCCACCCAAGAGAAGCGCTGCAGCATTAAATCAATTTCATGGCCCTTTTATTACTGAGGAGATAAAGCCAATATTTAGCTTTCTATTCTTCACAATTATTGGGCCCCTGCTTTGCCACTTGAGTGGCTGCGCTTGGCTGGGGACAAGGACACATCTGTTTATGAGCTGTGGAGGCCCGGGGGCCTTGGTGTCCGGACTCCAGGGAACTGTCCTCAGCTTTCGCTCCTCACAGAAATTCAGCCTTCCTCGAGAATGCTTCCTCGAGAAGGAAGAAAGATTAGACCTAAAGAAAGATGAGGACTTTCAAAACTGCCAGACGCTGGCTCTTGCTAAACAAAAGGATTGCATGGTCTCAAATATTTATATGTACAACTACAGTTTGTCAAAACTCCTTAGTTATTATTCTCTGTAGTAATGCTAACTTAAAGTCTTACCTGACCATGCAAGTCTTTCCTTTAGAACTTTCACATTAACTTCTAATAATTTCTTCTGCTTGAACTGCCACCATGATATACAGCATGTAAACATATCATTCACTGCATAAAATGAACTTTTGGTTAAAGGAACTCAGTAAACAGAATACCATATCAAATACGTCACATCATTGGATCTATGCTGAAGGTGCAAAACGTGGATCCAGAGCACTATACTTTACTACTTTATGTCTATGAAGTGGCATTTTTCTTGGGTGCACGGCAGCTCCTCTTCTAGCTGCACCTGTATTTTGTGAGTCTCTGTGAAGTTGACTGTACTGAAGTAGGTGGAGAGGCGCAGTAGGGGCAGTGTCAGCGGTGATCAAACTGCACAGTGCAATTTTTCTGTCAAGGATTTCTGGGATTTTTGCTTGTTGGAGTCTGGGTCAACAGTTTTGTTTTTTCTATTACAAACTGTCAAAGCCCTTTAACAGTAATATGATATCCAGCAAAGGAGAAAAAAATTAGGAGAAGTGGTTAGTAAAATTAATTCTCGCCACTACTAAAAACACTGATGTGCCTCTTTTTGCCTGATGTTGCCATGTTTTCAAGCTGACCCTAAGTCAGTTGATTCATGCTGACTCTTAAATATCGATCTATCCAGACAATACTCTTTTTTCGACTTGATCTCGACTTAACCAATGCGCCATTTCTGATACATCTCTGCAGATCTTTTCTGGCACACTGCCTTTCTTGCCACAGACTCACTTTCTGAACCCATTACTCAGAGAACGTCACAATGAAAAGTTGTTGCATTATGCATCAATAAGGTCCTATTTATGTCCTACTAGTCTGACAACAGCTTGACTGATGTTAATGTAATCTGCACTGTTCTTTGGCCCAAAACTGCCAGCAGCAGCTCCCCTGTCATTGACAAAGCAGCTCCATCAGTCACAGAGCACTCTCCTCATTTCTCCTATAAGAAGAGTGTCAACTGACTAATGCACAGGAGGAACCCAGGGACGGAGGATGCTTCTATGGATATGGATCAAATATGCTCAAACTTTAAAATCTTTATGAAACTGAAAACTATTAAAACCAACAACACTATAACTTAATTTTTAAGTGGAAATCTAAAATGCTGTCAATACAATATATAAACATGGTCTCTTTAGAAAGTGTTAGTATTGCTCTGCATCAGTGTTTTCAAGATTTTAACATTAAATTTGGGATTAGACAAGCAGCTAACCAGGATTAGCTCGCTGGCTAGCAGACTTTTCATGCTAAGATGCTTAACGCAGTAGCTTGGTTCGACAAAAGGGGCCGGCGAACAAGGCTTTCAGCCTGCTACAGCCGATTTCGGAGGGCAGACAGAAGGAGTAAGACAGATGAACAGCGAAGAGCGCTGACGAGTGAGACAGATGAACCGAGAATACCAGCACACATCAGTAGAAGACAAAGAGAGGAAAGGACAAAGATAATGAGAAATAGAGGGAGACATAAGGCCAGGACTCTGGTGTGCCATTCATTTTCATGGAATTCTGGTTTGAAAAAACCCCCCATAAATCTCCTCATTTAGGTAAATACAGAAACAGAGCAATAAAATGACACATTTGATTTAGTGTTAATAAAGTGAAGGTTTAACAAGAAAAAAAATCTCATGCAAATTAAAAAAACAATCTTCCTTTTCAAAATATTCAATTATTGATTAATTGCCACTTAAGAAGGCCAAAAATACATTACATTATATACATTAAAATACAATATATGTCTTAACAGTAGTTTTAGTAATGTATGGATTGCATCATTTTAAAATGCAGTAAATTGCCTGGTGTGAACCACCTGTATGCTTTAACTCTCCTTCCGCGCTGCACATCTCTGATAAATTGCTGCATTAATTTTAAGGCCAAAACCAACTTTTACAAACAGGTACGAGAGCGCAGACTATCATTAGCATCACAGTGGATTCCTTTTTCACACATCGGGTTTAAACAAGTAGGAAAACCTTAAATTTATGGAATTCACACAGTAGTATAGACTACTTTTTTGGTAGTGCTTCAATAACCATGAGGTTGATGAGTGATAGCTGATAAGTTACACACCCACACACATTTATCAAGTTAACGCTGGTAGAACACACTCTGTATGGTTGAAAGGTTAAAAAACAGCTTGAAAAAATATTCCCCTCTAAGGTACGAGGC